GTCTGTGTTCCTAGAGACAGAATTATATTATTAGTGGGAGGCACTTAATTGGCACTTAGAGAGGTTTAACATAGTTTTCTTAATTTAAAAAACCTTCTGTTTTTCAGCCTGATTGGAAAATCCTTGTACAACTTCAGCGTTTCCTGAGTTTCTTCATCCCCACTCCCCTCTTGATTACACATGTGTATTTTCCTATTTTATCTCTGCTTTCAAGTACTGGATTTTATTTTTATCCATGAATAGAAGTAAAGCATTTTATTGAAACAATCATGTCATGGATTTTACCCACAGGAAGAAAATGTAGGTTAGCATTTTGCTAGTATTAATAGTTTAAAGAGCTGTGAATTGAGTAACTTTATTTTTTTTCACTAAAATGGCTCTTCTCTCAAAAACAAGCAAATGCCTTAGTGGAGAAAGAGGGTTTACAGTTTAACATAAAAGAATTTTTTCTCTTTAATGGTATCTATACTATACCTCTGAGGGAGTAAGAGCACATTCAGAGAATAGAGGAAAAATTAGATGGTTCTGTAAAAATGTTTCCAAATCATTGGCACATCAAACAGTATTTCATCTTGTATTGAGAGAATTTTAAAATCAAAATAGATAATAGAAACAATCTGCAGTAAAGCTTCCCCTTTAAAGAGAGAATTCACAACAGAATATTCTCATAGTAGATTCTAATGTCTAAACTATTAGTAAGACTTTAGACGCTTGAAACAAAATGTTTCTTCTTTTCTTGTTTTGTAAAGAGTTTGAATTGTCACCATTATTTCTCTGAGAGATGCGTTGGAGGCCAGAGAAGGTACAGATCTATCATTGTAAACATCAGTAATGAGGTTACTCCTCGAGGAGAAATTGGGTCTAGAATTTATGTTGTAAAGTTTTATTCTTTTAGAGAATTTTCTAAACCAAATTTTAACATTAATTAAAAACAATATTTAGGTCATCTGACTTAAATAGACTTTAAAATTCCTGGCTTATGAAACATGACTCCTGCCTGTAGAAATAGTGCAATGTGCTATGAAAAAGCAATAATTAGCAGTGGCGCGTCCACATTAGGTATGGGAAAATATGTCGATTGGAATGTGATGACTCCTGCTCTTAAATTTCTCTTTCTATTTGTGTTTTTAAGAAGCAGCCATATTACCTAACGGGTGTAATGGAGCCACACTGAAGACGCCAACATCATAGAATCGGCATTTAGCGTCAGTTACCCACCCAAAATGGAACAAGCAGTGACTGACGTGGCGTTAGTGGTGATCTGAAAACATGAGGCAGAGGTGAAGGGACTGTCGAATTAATCATAGCAAAAACATTGGAGTTTGAAATAAACTCATTAGTTGAGCATGAATGCTGATGTTTTAGAAGGCATTGTAAACCATCTTTGCCATCTGCTTTAAGTTCATTGATGAGGAACATAAACAGATTCTAGGGCCCATCTCTGCCCTCAACTGCTGTGTGATCTTGGGAAATTCACTCAGTCTTTCTGTGTTTTAGTTGCCCCTGCCACCCTGTTGAAAATGGATACATTTTTGGTTTTGTTAAAAAAAAAATCACAGTTGACAATGTCCGTAGCTGTAATTTTTCTTTTCCTCGATTTATTTTTGCATAAATAGGGCCAGGAGATTAAAATTTTAGCAGAGACATGAAAATTTAGAATGTTTTCTCAATTCATTAAATACTCTCAGGATATAAAATAATTCTGAGGAAGCTGGAGAAAACTTCCAGGTGGTATCTTTGTTGTCTGTTCTGGCAGCATCCAGTAGTGCTTTCCTGTCCCCAAAGTAACTGAGCAAGTGGGTTTATATTACTCAGAAGTGCGAAGAAATTCCACAGAAAAAGAATGTATGTGAATGAGATGTGTTCCACCGATACACACCAGAATGACCCTCTGCAAGTACAGGAGAGGGACTGAGAGGAGCTGGACTTCAGTCAAAGTTGGGCTGGAGTCTTAGCTCTGCCACTTATCCAGCTGTGTGACACTGGGCAAGTTGCCTAACTTCTCTGAGCCTTCGTTTTCTCATCTGAAAATGGTTATCATGAGGGTAATGAAATAATGGCAGGCCAAGGTCACAGTGCCTGTTGCGTAGTAAGTGTTCAGTAAATGGCACCTTTTATGACTGTTTTTGTTAACATCATGCCAAGAAAAAAGCAGTTCCGCTAGAAAGGACGTAGTATGTGTACCAGGGCCCCCGTTGGCATCACTCCTCACACAGCCCTCGCCTTCCACTGCCTTCGTGAGTCTGTCTCCCACCAAAGACTAGGCTAAGACCCTCGACTCTTGGGAGTTTGGTTTTTCCCTCCTTTATGTGCCCCCAGTCTGGCTAGTGCCCAGTACACAGTAGGTGCTCCATATATGTTGAATAAATCAATTAATAAGAGAAGCTCTCTGTTAATAAGTAAAATATCTTTTTTTTATAATTTACGTAATATTAAATTAGTATCAGAAAAGTTTTTTGGTTACCACTCTTATGGGAGGCCAATGAGCAACCATCAATCAGATGTCGAGCACTAGTCTGTTCACTTTGTTGCTGGGATACAAATGTCTCCCTCTGCGTCCTGAAGGGGTCTGCAGTATAGTTGGGCACACAGAACAAACAAGTGGGGAGATACACAGTGTGCAAAATCAGCACCTCCCTCTACAGTGGCTCACACTGCTGAAAAACCTTTTCAACACTGCAAGATTGTTTGATAAGTAAGATGAGAGAAAATATCCTAAGACAGTAGGTGCTGACTTGCTGATGGAGTCGTAGAGACAATTAACCCGTGCAGATGAGAGGGGAATCCCAGATTCTGGTACACGTAGTAAAATTCAAATAGGAAGAAGATTACCAAAAGGAAATGAGATTTTCTGCAGGTTTTGAATGTCCCAACAAAGTTGTAGAGATGATCAAGTGGACGTACAATCCTTACACACCTAGGAGAAAGAGGTTAAAGAGATTTTAAGACAAGTGGGATATTTTCATTAAGTGAACGTGGGATTGTTTTCTCAACGCGGTGTGGCGAGGGCTGCCTTCCCTACTCAAGCCAGACTCATGGTGCATGCAGCGTTTGGGCCATGAGGTTGAAAAAAGTCCCAGCTCACTCCATGTAGAAATGATGAAAATGGATACAAAATGATGAAATAATGAAAAGTTTAGGAAGAATAAGTAAAATAGCCAGAATGGTGGGGCATTTCAAAGCCTAACTGTAAGAACTCATAGGTGAGGCAAAATGTAAAAGAAATACAATTTCTTTTTAAAGGAAGGGACAAATTAAAAAATGCATGGAAGACAAAGATTCTCCAGTGGAGAAAATACCCAGAGTAATAGTGTGCACGGAACTGTAAGATGTTTAAAGCAACAGTCGTCCCTGAGGATGTAGTGAGGGTGTGAAAGGCACCTTGGAAGAGATCAGTGTAATTGCCCTCCTGCAGCTGGAATTTTTATTCTTTGCTTCAACACTCCTTTGACTTTAGGGGGGAGGACTTAACTGAATTAGGGAATACAAATCCTTAACAAGAGGAAAGAATCCATTCACGATGTGGAGGAAAAATGGGTTTTCACGTCAGAAGACAAACCCTAGAGAGAATATAGGAAGTGGTGTTGTTTTCCTAAGTGGTGACTGGAAAGATTCCCTTTCTGCACCATCCCTGCCTGCTGTGGCAGACTCTCTGCCTTCGTTTCCTATTGAAGTTGCGTTATCAAAAACAAACAGAAACTGGGTATTAATAATCACGAGTTTCACTAAGTTGCAACTCACTGTTTCCACATTGGCTCAGTTTGATGGACAAAAACATGGCATTAAACCTTACTCTTACTCAGGATCATAAATCCTGAAATCATTACATCATTCCTTCTGTTCCTTCTGGAAAAGACACAAGCTGGCAGGCTTTTCCAGCTGATAAAATTAAACTTCCTTTCATTAGTCATTATAAAACTATGCACGAGAAAGAGTGACGTGAAACAAGAACTTTAAGTGTCTTTAATGTGGCGGAGTAGAGCGCCGTGTGCACAGAGTGCTGAGTGAACGGTTGTCTTACCACACGCGTCTTTATGAAAGTATCACCTATTGGAAAATTGGGCAGAGAAGCCCTCTCTAGAAACACAGATCCAGAACCACCACGAAGAGATTGTTATTGAAACCTAATATGGATTTATTATCTCTTGTCAAGCCAGATTCAGATTTATAAATATTTCATCAGTGGAAAAGGAAGCTGGTTGATGGTTCTATTTTTGAGTTCTAAATTTTGTTTGAAACTAATTAGTAAAATGGAAAGAAATTCTTTCCATAATTACATTCTCTCGGTTTAAAATAACTTTGTTTCAAGAATGCACTGTACTTAAAAAAAAAAGTCCCTTTGAATAGTAACTTTATTTTAGTCCTAAGCTATTATATAAATGAAATCTATTATGACAATTTTCAGGACCAAAGAAGGCACTTTGGATGCTTTAGTCTTAAGTGAATGTTTGATGAATCAATTTGAACGTTTCTAACCTCGTAGCACAGATGCATCAAGAGGGATGGCTTTAGTGAGAAGAGCCCTCTGTGTTCAGTGGGCTGAGTCCCCTGGTGGGATGAGCTGGACATATGCCCACAGGCAGTCAGCGCTGTGATGGACAGGTTTGTGTCCGCGTAAGAGTCAGATGAAAACAACTACCACCTGGTTGTTTGTGTGGCATTTAGTTTTTGTGGAAATAAAAATTTAGCTCCATTTATATTCTCTTTCACGTAATTGCAGAATTTGTTTACTGGCATTAAAGGAGTTTGCTTGGAAAAGTTCCCCTTATGAGGTGCACTTGTCTGCTTTGCAGGGATATAAATGTTAACTCAAATTCTTCAGAAGCACCACAATGTGCAAGTACTATTTAAGAACTTACCAACCAGAGGCGATCTGTCATTTCCTTCCTGTAATGCCTCATCCCCATGTGCCCCGCCCCACCATTTCTTCTCCTGAAACACAGCCTCACTGTTTCTCCCCAGGCAGATGTGCTTTTTTCTCTCACTCCCCTGGGCCACAAGTGACTCTGCTGATAGGTCTCACCTCTCCAACTTCACATATAGGTATTTGGGTACTTATTTCCTTTTCAAGACTGCAAACTCTTTGAAGGAAAGAACTATGTCATGTTCAGACCTGTATATCCTAAATACTTAGTGTAGTTCTTGGTACATAATTGGTAATAAGTACTTAACCAAATGGATAACTGCTTCTTTTCACTTATTGCAGGTAACTGAGAAGACCCCCACTCCATTTAGGAAGGGCAGCCAGAGAGATTTGTCCCGGACAGTAGAACAAAAGGAAGAATCTTGATGGATTTTAACCCACAGTTTATCAAGCGTTTGAGAATCTTGGGAAAGTAATTTGTTCTCCTGCACTGCATATATAGGTTAAGGTTGTTTCTGATGCAGCTGAGAAAAATGCAGACCATCAAGAAGGAGCAGGCATCTCTTGAGACTGGTAGCAGTGTGGACAAGATGATGGTGCTTAATTCTGCTTTAAGTGAAGTCTCCGAAGACTTGACAACGGGAGAAGAGTTACTTCTAAATGAAGGCAGCATGGGGAAAAACAAGTCTGCATCGTGTCGGAGGAAACGGGAATTCATTCCCGACGAAAAGAAAGATGCCATGTATTGGGAAAAACGGCGAAAAAATAACGAAGCTGCCAAGAGGTCTCGTGAGAAGCGTCGGCTGAATGACCTGGTTTTAGAGAACAAACTAATTGCGCTGGGAGAAGAAAACGCCACTTTAAAAGCTGAACTGCTTTCCCTAAAATTGAAGTTTGGTTTAATTAGCTCTACAGCATATGCCCAAGAGATTCAGAAACTCAGTAATTCCACAGCTGTGTACTTCCAAGACTACCAGACTTCCAAAGCCGCCAGCATGAGCTCCTTTGTGGACGAGCATGAGCCCTCGATGGTGGCCAGCAGCTGCATCTCAGTCATTAAGCACTCTCCGCAGAGCTCCCTGTCTGATGTCTCGGAAGTGTCCTCGCTGGAACATTCGCAGGAGGGCCCTGCGCAGAGTGGCTGCAGAAGTCCTGACAGCAAGTTCCAGGTCATCAAGCAAGAGCCGATGGAACTGGAGAACTACGCGAGGGAGCCGAGAGATGACCGAGGCGCCTACCGAGCGTCCGTGTATCAGAACTACATGGGGAATCCTTTCCCTGGCTATTCACACTCTCCCCCTCTCCTGCAGGTCAACCGGTCCTCCAGTAACTCTCCGAGAACGTCGGAAACCGATGACGGGGTGGTAGGAAAGTCATCCGATGGGGAGGACGAGCAGCAGGTTCCCAAGGGCCCGATCCACTCTCCTGTGGAACTTCAACGCGTGCACGCCACCGTGGTTAAAGTTCCAGAGGTGAACTCCTCTGCCTTGCCACACAAGCTTCGGATTAAAGCCAGAGCCATGCAGATAAAAGTGGAAGCATTGGACAGCGAGTTCGATGCCACGCAAAAACTTTCCTCGCCGATTGACATGACATCGAAGAGACATTTCGAACTCGAGAAGCACAGTGCCCCAAATATGGTACATTCTTCCCTTACCCCTTTTTCAGTGCAAGTGACTAACATTCAAGATTGGTCTCTCAAATCGGAACACTGGCATCAAAAAGAACTTAATGGCAAAACTCAGAATAGTTTCAAAACTGGAGTGGTTGACATGAAAGACAATGGCTACAAAGTTTCTGACCCAGAGAATTTGTTTTTGAAGCAGGGGATAGCAAACTTATCTGCAGAGGTGGTTTCACTGAAGAGACTCATAGCCACGCACCAAATCTCTGCCTCGGACTCTGGGTGACGTACTACTGACCAGCTCTGGGCATCGAGGAAGATGTCATTTGCAATAGATGAGTACGTTTTGTATTAGGCTGAATTTTCACTGGACCTGTGATGTCATTTCACTGTAATGTTCACATGTCGTCTGTTGAGTGTCTTTTTGTGCACCAATTATGATGAAGATTACATAGTGTTATCACTCTGCCTTGTGTATAGTCCAATAGTCCATGCAAAAGCTGTATATATTGAACATTATTTTTGTTGTTCTATTATAAAGTGTGTAAGTTACCAGTTTCAATAAAGGATTGGTGACAAACACAGAACTTCTGCTGCATTGCACTTGATTTTATGGAAAAGAACAACCAATTTAAGTTACAAAAATAGATATTAAGATATTCTGCATTTTACTTATTTGGGGGAGTTTCCTCCCCTGAATAAGAGAGAACTGAAGTATAAGTTCAGCATATAATTTGTTTTTCTTCTCGTTTGGCCCAGGCTATAGTATGTTTGAAAACCTTCCAAAGAGAGGAAAAAAATAATTAATTTTCTTGCATTTGAGACCAATTTACTATATTACTCCTCATTATCTTTTTCTTTAAGGTTAGGTTTTCTCCATAATTTTTTTAAGTAGAAAAATCCAAGTTGTTTGTCATCAGCCTCTCTTCGATCATCTCTCTTTTTAGATATGACACATGGATGTGGATAGTTGAGTCATTGACCCACTTTATTAATTATCAGTACTTTTAAAAGCGTGGATAAAGACTGAGGATGAAATCATTTTTATGTTATTGTAAATCTTAACAGTTCTAGAGTATAACCGTCTAGAGAATTAAGCTAGTGAAATTGTTTTTATTTAGTTTCCATAATTTCAGAGAACACATCAGTTATCATATTCCAACATGTATAGTCTGAGTCTTTTTAATGACTTGTTTTTTTACCATTTGTTAATGATAGATATAAATAGTTCTAGTTTGGAAACTCTGTGTAATAGAGACGTCCGGAAGAAAGCAGCATTCTAAGGAAATTGATGCTGAGACCATTACTGATGATTGTCTGGGGTCCTCAGCTGCCCCGTAGAAGTAAGTGTCATCAGACACAGACCAGTGTCTTCTGTGGCAAGGTGGGCCTGGCAGCTGGGTGGGGTGCGAGGGGGCGGGTGGCTGTTGTCAAGCTCAGCTTTCTCCATCGCTGCTCTCCTCACCCAGACCCTCTCCAGAACCTCTCTTTCCACACTGACCTCTTGTCTATTCTAGAAGGGGGTGGAGGGACTCGAGGCGTCGTAGAACACATGCAGAGTGACTTGACCCTCACTCCGTTGCCAGTATCTCCTGGTGGCACCTAGGAAGAGCCTGACTGTAACATCCCATTTTAGGGATCTGCAGTCTTGGTGACTGCCTCATTTGAATAAAAGCCTGAATTTTGGTATCTTAAACTTCTTGCACTTTTATATTCCTAAAAGTAGTCTTTTGAATTAGTAATGCACACACATGCCATTTGCTTGGTCCTTTGGCCACAGTGACTCGTTTTCTCTCTGAAATCACCTGGTTCTTAGAGAAACGTGTTGTCGTCTCAGCCCGTGGCCTTCTCCCATCAGTATTTTATTGGTGACTGGTGAGGCCCAGAGGCAGACCCATCTCATTTTTGGATGTTACAAAGCAGAGGAGGGCTATTGGATGGCAGTCAGGATCCAAAAGCATCTGACAGCCTAGAATGGATGGAGTGACTCTAACCACATGAATTATGATAGGGCTACAATGTCAAGTCAGGTTCCTGTGTTAAACAAAAAATTTTTTTAAGAGGCTAAGTTCACAATTGGGAGAAAAACAATAAAATAACTATATATGGGGAAGAAAAGCTTTAGTTTCCTCTGCTCACTATGAGTCAGCTCCCAGTGGAGTGTTGGGTTGTGTCAACGCCAAGTGTGCAGACACGAGACAGCTGTCCTGCTGCACCAGTGCGTGTGCAGAGAGGTGCAGGAGTGCGCTTTCCTAAGGAGCCCAGCGGGGGTGGGAGGTCTCGTGGCCGTGAAAGAGGAGAAAATATTAAGAAAACAGTTGATAAATTGCCCCAAGAAGGGATGCACCTTATACTGAGTGGTACCGTAAGGGAGAATAAGAACACGTGGATAATAGCCAGAAAGGTTAATCTCCAGCTGTCCTGTGCACCTCTGGGAGCAGTGCAGAAGCAAAGGGCCCACCTGAATCACTGCACCTGCCAGGTTAACCACTAATATGAGCTGTCATGGTGAATACATCACATTTGGATGCCCTCTGCCTTAGTCATTTTGCTTGATAATTTCAAGGATCTAAAATGTGGTTGGGATGATGTTTAAAATGTTACTGCTTAAAAGGACGGCATAAACAAGCAGTTCCAGACTCACTAGGAACTAAAGAGATCAAGTCCAATTGCACTGTGACACTTCTGTTTCATGATGTGAACTGACGAAATGCCACTGCCTCTCCTTCCCACTCACAAAGATCCAGAAAATGATATCAAACCCGTTTAAAACCAAATCTATACCTGTACTCAAAAAGTAAGAAACAGAAGCCTCAGAGCACCAAAATTCTTAAGAATTCCTAGAAAGATGGCCATCAGGTAGGCCTCCATGGGGAGGAACCTCTAGCCAGGAAATCAGAGAGGCCCCACCCCGGCCACTGGACACGAGGAGAGGGAGGGGAGCCGAGTGGTCAGCAGTGGGGCGAATGGGGATGCAGCAGCAGGAACAGCCGCTCCTCCCTCCACCTGCCAGAATGGGGAGAGCACGAGCAGGAGTGCGGTGGGGCAGGTTCAGAAAGGCAGCGCATCGCCCGGGGCCAACAGTTCCCCGTAGAACATGTGTAGAACGCACGTCGCATGTGTGTCCCCCACGTAGCCTGCCCAGCAGCACATCCCTCCTTTGTCCTCACTATTATTATTATTGTTTTATTACCGTGTCCATTTTATAAAGGAGAATACTGAGACTATGAGAGGTGGACTTGCAGAAGCTCTCACAGCAGCCAGAACCCAGGCAGGGACCGGGAAGAGGCCGGCCAGCAAGGAATCATCCGGCACTTTAGTGCCTCCCCTGACATAACGGAGGGAAATGAGACTGGAGGGTCTTTTATCTGCCGGAGAAAAGGGGAGTCTGAGGTGGTGTCCAGGTTGTCAGTGCCTTTTCTCTGTAAATTAGTAAAACTGCTGTTTGAGCCTCTGCTTTTCGGCTGCACAACAGTTGTGTAATAACTATTTTTTTTGTATCTTCAAGGAGCAAATATTCCCAAATAAAAACAGGTAACATCTGTGTCAGTCTTCCATTCACGTGTAGCCATTTTTTTTTTTAAATCAAATTTCTTTTTTTTTTTTTTGTGCGGGAGATCAGCCCTGAGCTAACATCCGTGCTAATCCTCCTCTTTTTGCTGAGGAAGACCGGCTCTGAGCTCACATCTATTGCCAATCCTCCTCCTTTTTTTCTTCCCCAAAGCCCCAGTAGGTAGTTGTGTGTCATAGCTGCACATCCTTCTAGTTGCTGTACGTGGGATGTAGTCTCAGCATGGCTGGAGAAGCGGTGCGTCGGTGCACGCCCGAGATCCAAACCCGGGCCACCAGTAGCAGAGCGCACGCACTTAACCGCTAAGCCACCGGGCCGGCCCAAAACTGGTAGCTTTTAAACTCATTTTGAAAAATAGAAATTATCCCTCAAAAATGAGACTCGTTGGCCACACCCACTTGGTTTGGTTTGTGTGTGTGTTTTGTGGGGCGGGGGTTGGGGTTGTTAAGAAGAAGTACAGCTGTTAGCACGGTTTGTACAGTGTCTCACTACTAGTTGCACCAAAAAAATTTAAATAAGAAAAACCTATCAAGGATTTGAAATTACAGGATACTCAAGATACCAGTGAGGACAGAGAAATAAGAGAAAACTCAGATTATGAACTATAGTTTAATTAGAAGCTGGTGAACTAGAATGTCTTATGGAAAGGTCAGATAAAGTACGGCTGGTTTAAAGGCTTTGGCAGTAGTCAGTAGCTTATACCGATTCTAAAGGACATAAGGAAAAAAGTAGTGCAAGAACTAATGGAAATGAGATGTAGCAGTCCTGGCAATGGAAAACAGGTGACCTTAGAAGGTGACAAAGAGCACTACTGAAAAAGTCAGGAGGGCGTGCAGCTGTCACCACTGCGTCATCAGGCCAGGGACTGCCAAGGTGTTGAGCATTGACAAGTGGAAGGACTTTATAAGGGAAACCAAATAAGCGAGTCACCCAGACAGGTGTAACCGCCGTTTTCAACATCTCTGTCAATCTCGTCCACTTGAGAAGGAAAAGTCACTTGAATGAAGTGCTTGAATGAAGTCCAGGGTTCTGGAGGTAAGAATATGGCCCTTTTGAAAGCGCCTGTGGAAGAAATCATGAAGACAGGAAAGGAGAGGAAAGGAAGTCATTCAGCAACAATATACATGATTTAACAAAAGGGAGAGGAGGGACGAGAGAAACCTCAGGATGAACCACCTTGACATAAGCAGATATTTCAGTGTAATGAGGCTTGAAAAAAAAAGTGACTCTAGGGCTGGCCTGGTGGCCTAGTGGTTAAGTTCCTGAGCTCCGCTTCGGTGGCCCAGGGGGCGCCGGTTCGGATCCTGGGCATGGACCTACGCACCACTCATCAAGCCATGCTGTGGCGGCATCCCATATACAAAACAGAGGCAGATTGGCACAGATGTTAGCTCAGGGACAATCTTCCTCACCAAAAAAAAAAAAGTTATTCTAACAGCTGTGCTAGATTTCCCATGAAAGAGGGAACTTTCTTTTTGAAAAGATAACTGATGTGCTTCTGGGGTCCCAGGAAAACCCTAAAACCAATGATGTCATCAGGTAGGCTGCTTTGCAGAGAACGTGAGAGGAGATGGGGTGGTGGTGGTCTGTGCCTCTCAGGGCGTGGGGAGACTGGGGGCTACTTTTCACGGGAAGAGGGAAGGGAGAGAAGAGAAGGTAGGGAAGGGGACAGGAGGCCCAGGCAGGCCACTGCCGAGCATGTGCAAAAGCGTTCTTCCATGTCCTCCTCAATCGTCAGTAGTGCTCCTAGGCTCTCAGATGCTTTGTGTGCGTGGATTTCTGCTGGTTGCTGGGCTTTCTATCCGGATCAGCTTTCTGCAGAGCAAGGCAGCTCCCCTGGGAGCAGGCACCGAAGGCTGGGTGATGGTGAAGGCTGAGGCCTCGAGGAACCCGCAGAGCCGGAGGGGACTGGACCTTGACAACCCATGCAACTGAGGCTCCAGACCACCTTATCTGGATCTCAGGGCTTAGGGAGGCCCTGCTAATGATCAATAAATACAAATTGCCTGTGGATAT